TCTTCTTCTTCTTCCTCTCTTTATTTATCTTCTTCTTCCTCTTCTTCATCCTCTTCTTCTTCTTCTTCTTCATCATCCTCTTCTTCTTCATCCTCTTCTTCTTCATCTTCTCCATCTTCATCCTCTTCTTCTTCATCCTCTTCTTCTTCTTCATCCTCTTCTTCTTCTTCATCCTCTTCTTCATCCTCTTCTTCTTCTTCATCCTCTTCTTCTTCTTCTTCTTCTTCTTAATCCTCCTCCTCTTCTTCTTCTTCATCATCCTCCTCTTCTTCATCCTCTTCTTCATCCTCTTCATCTTCTTCTTCATCTTCTTCTTCATCCTCATCCTCTTCATCCTCATCCTCCTCTTCTTCTTCATCCTCATCCTCTTCTTCTTTTTCTTCTTTTTGTCTTCCTCTTGCAGATCACTGCTCATGCGCAGATTTTTTTATCGGTAAAAAGATCGGCCGATTTGCCCATCATTGCCAAATGGTCAGTCCGCCCCTGGTTCAAATGCCTAAGCAGTAGCCTGAAAGACTTTTGTCTTAAAGTGATATTAAAGCTTCAAGTTTTTTTTTAAAAATAAAATAATAAACATGATACTTGCCTGCTTTTTGCATTGGTTCGCGCAGAGCAGCCATGATCCTCTTCTTCTGGAGTACCCTGCCAGCACTCCTGGCTCCTCCTCTTCGGCCGCTTTCTATGGGGGCACTCGTGAGAGCTTGCTGATGCAGACAGAGTGGCTCAGTCCCGCCCTACCCCCTTATCACAGAATTTGATGGACACTGGCTGCTATCAGTCTGCCCACTGAGGAGGGAGAAAGGAGTGCACATGCACTGGACCGAAATTGGGCTCAGGTAAGTACAGGAAGTCCCCTGTGTTACATACATCTGACTCGGACGATTTTCCCAGCAATGATGGGCAAATCGGGCGATCTTTTTACCGATAAAAAAATGTGTGCATGAGCCGTGACCTGCAAGAAGAAGAATAAGAAGAAGAAAAAAAGATTAAGAATTCCAGTCCGCTGTTATATTTGACTTGAAAAAGTATTGCGGTTGCAACAATGTATCTATTTGTATCCGAATAAAAACATCTGTTTTAAAAATGGATACAAATAGATACAATGTTGCAACCACAATATTTTTCATGTCAAATATTATAGCGGAGCTCTCTGCAGGGACAGAAGTAATTAAATGCCGGCCGTAGACGGGAAGAAAATCTGCCTTTTTTTTTCACCGTTGGTGGTAATGCCGGCCTATTGAACAACCGATTTTTTGTTTTGTTAAAAAAACGGCCGGTTTTCGACCCGTTTATGGCCTGCATTAGTCTCTGTGCGGTTGTAAATATTGTTGGGGAGCTTTCTCTTCCATTTTATCCTGGTCATATGTGGTCACTCTGACAAAAAGAAAAGGGAAATCTCTAAAGTTTAATGGGGAAGGTTTTATAGTACTTTGAGGTTTTTATTTCCTATGTGCTCCCCAAGACAGGAAGTGAGAGGAAATCTGTTAATTGGGACAGGAATGAAGGAGAAATTGCCTCAACAGTAGGGCAGTACAGTGGCTAAATGCTTAGTACAGCCACCTGGCAGCACAAGGGTTGTTGGTTCGAATCCAAACCACAGCACCAGCCTGGAGTTTGCATGTTCTCCCTGTGCCTGTGTGGGTCTCCTCTGGATACTCAGGTTTCCTTCCACACGTCAAAGACATGCTGGTTGGTGAATTGGATCCTGTCTAAATTGTCCCTAGTATGTGTATGTATGAATGTGAGTTAGGGACCTTAGATTGTACACCCCTTGAGGGTTAGGGACCTTAGATTGTACGCCCCTTGAGGGTTAGGGACCTTAGATTGTACGCCCCTTGAGGGTTAGGCCCTGATGTGAATGTACAATATATATGTAAAGCGCGGAGTACATTGACAGCGCTATATAAGTAACTGTAATAAATTTTTAAAAAACACAGCCAACCTTGGATAATACTGTAAGCCCCTGACGTGAATGTACAATATATGTAAAGCGCTGTGTAAATTGACAGCGCCATGAGTACCTGTAATAAATAATTAAAATAGTTGCCATTAAAAAGTAGAGGGAACCCTTATTTCTCCTTGTTAAATTAATAAAAAAAAGTTTTTCCTGGGGCATTAAAAAAAATGTAGTTTTATGCCTAAGATCACCCTGTTCTAGGACAAGAGTCTTTGGCTTGGTATTGCTGTCTCCTACGCTGTGTGTGGACAGTTGATGGTCCAGAAGAGATGATAAAGGAATCTTTTCAGTTTTGTTACTTGTAAAATAACTTCTCTGATTGTTACTGCAAAGTTCCAGATTTCCTGTCCTGCTTATTGTCTTCCCTGGATTCTGGCATGCCTTGTAAACCTTTGGGGAAGAACAACCAAATTCTCACTCTTCAAGGCCTGTTGATATTTTCCCAGCGAAAGCTGCATTCTTTGCTGCGTTTTTTCGTCTGATTTTCATGATGAATCCGCTGTTAATGATGCCGCCTGGAATCAATTGGATTAATAAATTCAGCTGGACAGATTTACGCAGTGAAATTCTTGGAATACAATCCAATTTTGATCATTGCTCTAATATGAAGTGACACTTTCTGTGTTCTTGGATATCAAGGCAATTCGTTTGGTTTTCATAGTCAAATGTGTCCTTCCTGAAAATTCGTTTTTCATTTTTGTTGTATTCATTTTGCCTTTCCACAATAAGATATCCTAAAAATGATTTGCCCTTTTCCTGTGAAAAAAGCTGAACTCAAAATTTTGTTTTCCCTTTAATGTCAGGGCATGTGATCAAAATCAAAGATTTGTTTTCCCAAAATGTCTTCAAATCAGGGGCAGACTGAACTCAAAATCAAAGATTTGTTTTCCCATTGGTAATGTCTTCAAATCAGGGGCAGACTGAACTCAAAATCAAAGATTTGTTTTCCCATTGTTTGTCTTCAAATCAGGGGCAGACTGATCAAAATCAAAGATTTGTTTTCCCATGTAATGTATTCAAACTCATGGGGCCCCCGGGCAACCGGCCAGGCGTTTACGGAGCGGCACCATAAACCTGAATAGGAGGCTTCAACTCCTCCTGACTGGACCAGAGGCGTCCGTTTTGCCGCGACGCTAACGCTTCTGTGTGAACAGCACTATGTGCTGCAATGTGCAGAATTTTCAGAGGCGTTTAGAAAGCGGTAAAAACGGTTCCCAAACGCCTGTCTGCCGCTTGCTAACAACGCTAGTGTGAACGTAGCCTAAATCCATGTGAAAGACTGTAAGAAATGCGCACTCACCAGATGCGCTTAAATAATGCACAATATGCTGGATAAGAATCTGTAGGAAACCCCCTTTAAATGGATCTACCCAGGGGCGGACTGACAACTCATGGGGCAACCGGGCAATAGGGGATCATGGGGCCCCTGTGTCCTTGTCCAAACTCAAAAAAGCCTATGAAAAAGGTACCAGGGGCATCTCATGGGCCCCCCTACTGACCCCGGGCCCTCGGGCAGTGCCCGAGTTTCCAAATGGTCAGTCCGCCCCTGGTTCAAATGCCTAAGCAGTAGCCTGAAAAACTTTTGTCTTAAAGTGATATTAAAGCTTCAAGTTTTTTTTTTTCTAAATAAAAAAATAAATAAACGTGATACTTGCCTGCTTTTTGCATTGGTTTGCGCAGAGCAGCCATGATCCTCTTCTTCTGGAGTATCCTGCCAGCACTCCCGGCTCCTCCTCTTCGGCCGCTTTCTATGGGGGCGCTCGTGAGAGCTTGCTCATGCAGACAGAGTGGCTCAGTCCCGCCCTACCCCCTTATCACAGAATTTGATGGACACTGGCTGCTATCAGTCTGCCCACTGAGGAGGGAGAAAGGAGTGCACATGCACTGGACCGAAATTGGGCTGAGGTAAGTACAGGAAGTCCCCTGTGTTACATACATCTGACTTGCATACGACTCATATTTACAAATGGAGGGAGACAACAGAAAGTGAGGGGAAATCTACCCCTAGGAAAGGAAATTCACTCCCGTAAGATTTACCATGGGAAAAAGGTGTCTCCAGCTTTATCACCAATCCTTTTTTCCACAACAACCCAAAATTTTAAAAATCCAATTGTCACGGGGACAGAAAGTGAGATGAAATCTTTTGAATGGGGCACAAACAGCAAAACAAACATTATGGGGGTGTTAACCCTTCCCTATGCTATCCAAAATGTAAAAAAAAAAAAATTTTTTTTTTGGGCTGGTGTTACACTTAACCACTTCCTGTCTGGACACTTTTACCCCCTTCCTGTCCAGGTCAATTTTCAGCTTTCAACGATATCACACTTTGAATGACAATTGCGCGGTCATGCAACACTGTACCCATGTGAATTTTTTACCATTTTTTTTGAGACCGATAAAGCTTTATTTTGGTGGTATTTATTCACCGCTGGGATTTTTATTTTTTTTGCTATGTAAATGAAAACGTCCAAAAATTTTGAAAAGTGTTTTTTTTTAAATAAAATTTTGCAAATAAATAATATTTCATCATAAATCTTGGCCAAAATTTATTCCGTTATTTTTTTAGTAAAAAAAAAAATCCAAATTAGTTTATAACCAAAAATTATCATTTTTAAACATTTTTTTTTTTTTTTATTTTTTTTTATATTTTTTATTTTTTTTTTTTTTTTACATACTGTCACCCTAGCAGTACAGTGTCACCAAAGTGACACTGTACTACTTGTGGGGGGTGATGAAGATTTTTTTTTTTTTTACACTGATTGCTTTTACACCCATATAGGATGTAAAAGCAATCATTTCTCTTTCTCTCTGTCTGAATTCTTGCAGTCATTGAGAAGTACTGAGTGAGCTGTGATTGGTCACAGCTTGTCACATGGTACAAGGCTGTTGTGAATAGCCTTGTACCATGTGACTTCTGTGATCATTCACAGAATTCATACGTAGTAAGCAGTGATGTCACAAGTGACATCTTGCTTACTACTTTGCATGTGATCACTGGCCAATTGGCCAATCAGTGATCACATGATGGGGACCTCGTACAGAGGTCCCGTCCGACGATCGGTGTTTCACTGTGTCCGGAGGACACAGCGGGCATCGGATCGCGGTGCTGCGCGCTCCCAGGGAGCACGCACAGCTAGAAAAGGCGGGTGCCATTTATGAACGGCAACCCGCCCCTGCACTGCCACCGCTCTGCCGTTTATAAACAGCAGGCGGACGGCAAGTGGTTAAAAAATGTACATGCCCCAACTTACTTACATACAAATTCAGCTACAGAACCTATCTTGTTTGTAACCTGGGGACTACCTGTAAATAGGGAGGGCTGGGAGGGATCATGCAGCACAGAAGGTTTTATTTATCCTAATGCATAGAATGCATTAAGATAAAAAACCTTAAGGCTTTAGAACCATTTTAAATTTGCATTTCCTGTGCCTAGACATGCCTATATATTGAGCCCTATCGGTGTATATCTGCTGTGTGAGATCATCTAAGACACTGCTGCTACCAGATCTGGGGTGAGATTTGGTGATGTCACTACTGTATTGCTCATTTTTCTTTTTACTGGAGAGGAAGTTGTACCAGAGGACCTGCAGTGGAAGGATCTCCCTGTTTCTCTTATTGATCTTGTGGATCTGTTCTTCCTCCACTCTCCTGCTGCTTCTTGATTATATCTTCACAAGTCATCAGATCACTAGTCATTGGGGGGGGCAGCTCTGACACGAGGAAGCAAAGCCTTCTCTTCCAAGATGGCCACAGAAAAAGATGAGATAAGTCAGCTGCAGGGAGGCAACACCCAGAACTGGCGACTACTCCTTTGTCCTCTGCCATTTTTGGCCACAGTTCAGGACCTTTTTAAGGTTATTAGTTGCTTGCTTACACAAGTTATATGTTTATATATACTTATATACAGTATTATTTATTTTTACTATTTATTTCAGGTACTTATATTGCGCCGTCAATTTACGCAACACTTTATTATTGTTGAGATAGTATAGCTGTCCTCACACAATGTGTGAAATACCAAAAGGGCCAGGACAGTGGCTAAATGGTTAGCACTTCCGCCTGGCAGTACTAGGGTCATTGGTTCGAATCCCAACCACGGCATCACCTGCCTGGAATTTGCATGTTCTCCCTGTGCCTGCATGGATTTCCTCCGGGTACTCCGGTTTCCTCGTACACTCCAAAGACATGCTGGTAGGTGAATTGGATCCTGTCTAAATTGTCCCTAGTATGTGTATGTATGAATGTGAGTTTGGGACCTTAGATTGTACGCCCCTTGAGGGTTAGGGACTGATGTGAATGTACTATATATGTAAAGCGCTGTGTAAATTGACGGCGCTATATAAGTACCTGAAATAAATAATAAATAAATAAATCAGAGCCTTCTCTACATATTATGGATTCCTTTCATGGCATTCGTAGTACATGTAACCGTGTGTACAGCTGGACTGAATGCTCCTTCTCCAATTCTGTGGAAAGCCATTGTCCCCCTTATTCTTTAACTGTCGTATTATGTGGTTTTATTGCTGTCTTCATCTCTTTGATGGGAAGTTAAAATATTTGCATTTTTTGTGCCTTACTATTCATTCCTACAGAACTGAAAGCATGTGTTAGCAAAGTAAAAAAAAAAATGCACCCTGCATTGCGGCACAGTGGTGTAAACAGCTTTGTACTGACTTACTGTGAACCTGTCACAGTCCCAGGATATTGAAACTGCTTGTAATCTGAATGAATACATAAGCAGAAGTTATCTTCATTGAAAACCAATAGTTCAGTTAGGCCACACCCTCTTCCATTTCTGTGGCCACTCATATTATTATAAACTAGCATTTCTCAACTTTTTGTCCCAGAGGAACCGTCGAAATGTTCAGGTTTTGGTGTCATGCAGTTGGCTCTGCCAAGTAATGTTAGCCTTAGAATAATTCATACATCATGAAATCGGATGTCAGTCATCCACCACTCGAGGCACTACAAAAAAAAAAACAACAAAAAGAGAGTGCACCAGCCTAGCGTGCTACCGTAATACAGGGTTTATTGATGAGTAAAAGCAAACGCTATACTCACAAATACCATAAATAGACAAGCATATCAAAGAACCAAGATCGGCTGTCTCCAGATCAATGATGCATGTCCAATGACACAGGACCCCTTTTGTAACCTATAAATCTTAAGAGTTTCGAGGGGCAACCCCTCTACTTCAGTTTGTCTCTGGAGAAGAGGGGTTGTCCCTTATCGATCGCTAAAGGGGACTCAAAGGGGACTCTGTGTCATTGGACATGCATCATTGACCTAGATACAGTCTGTCTTGCTTCTTTGATATGCTTGTGTATTTATTGTGTTTGTGAGTATAACATTTTTTTTTTTTATTCATCAGTAAATACATATAAAATGTATTATGGCAGCGCTTGAAATTTCCACTCGCCTGCTCGCCAATGGCAGGTGGAAATTATGGTGGGGGCGAGTGTGTCCCCCAGGGCTGTCTTGCTGAGCAGGCTCGGAGCTCAGGCTGGATCTGTCATTGGCATTGGGAGCCGTCAGACTGCTCAATAGCTGAGCGCAGTGAAAGCAAAGCAAGGAGTGTGTGCTGTGCTCTCTGCCTCCCCCTAGAGTGCAGTACTCGGATCTGTGAGTGAACAACGAAGTACTGCAACTTTTTATGGGGGGGGTGTGTTTGTGTGTCTGTGTATGCATTTACAATTGTACATGTGTCTGTGTGTATGTACATGTGTGTATCTGTACATGTGTCTGCGTGTATGTACCTGTGTGTGTGTACATGTGTCTGTGTACGTGTGTGTGTGTGTGTATGTACGTACATGTGTCTGTGTGTACAGGTGTCTGTGTGTATGTACATGTCTGTGCGTGTGTATTTCTGTGTATGTACATGTATCTGTGTGTAGGCGTGTCTGTACGTGCCTGTGTGTGTGTGTGTACATGTGTCTCTGTGCGTGTGTGTACATGTTTCTGTGTGTGTATGTACATGTCTGTGTGTGTACAGCTGTCTGTTTGTGTGTGTTTGTTGGTGGCGAGTAACTCTAAGGCCTAGTTAGGAGCTCAGGACTTGAAATTTGAAGCCCTGTTATGGTAATGTGCTAGGATGGTGTACTCTCTTTGTTGTTATTAGTGCTGCATATGACGGGATACCCCCTAGTCCCTGGTGGACCGCACGGCGTGAGAGCGCTGTAACCACTGACTAGAAGAGTGCAGAGCTTACTAGACCCTTAGCACCCCAATTGAGGTCAGAAGATTAAGTGTACCACTCAAGGAGCCCCTAGCCACCTTTGGTGGTACCCCAAGATTTTGCGAATTCTGGTTCAGAATGACTATTATAGAGGCTTAGGAGATTGGGGGAACCAAGCTTGATTTGCGGAAAAAGTTAAAATTTGCTTTTAAATTCTGCTGCCTATATCTGCGGATCTACTGACCATCGTGACTTGAGGTCTCCAATAAAAGTAACTTCAGCTCATGCCAGATTTTCCATCTCTGGAGCCTGTATGCTCAAAACCTTTTGGTAACCAAAGCACAACCCCTTGGTAGGATCAGCTCCTTTACTTTCTCTTTTACCCACAATGTGTACTTGTTTTATTAGTCATAACCTGGCTGAGTATATTGTGATGATAAGCCTATGAGATGACTGTGGACTGACTTTGGCACAATTGCAATATTTGCAGGGTAGCAGTACAGACTCTGATTCAACTCCAGAACAGATTCACAAATTGTCCAATGCACAAACATAGACTTTGCCCCTTTTGTATAAAAGCGGCTGCAGTTTATTTTTGAAATCCCAAAGGAAAACCATGTCTTGGACGGAAAGGTTCAGCTACGTGTGGGTAAGCACGTTGGAAGTGACCAGCCCTCAGCGCTGCCAAAATCCACATCATATGCTCCAAAAACTCCATTAGATGCTAACCGTAAACCTCATGGCCATTCAACATTAAGTGACTATTGAAGATCCCCATTTCTTTTTACATGTACAAAAATTGTATTACAGAAGTGGCTTTTAAATCAAGACACTGACCGTTTGCGGAATTGTTTAATTTTTCCCTTGTGTAGTTTAGCAGATGAAAAGAACTTTGCATCAAGGTGCTGTCCATACAGTTTGCTGGACATTTCCTGCCCAGGTAACAGAACAGGAAGAGAAGGTAAATCTCCTCTTCTGGGAGGGACACAGACAGCATTTATAAACATGGGCCTACCATAGATGGTTCTAATCTTGGCTGGTTCAGCAGGAAGCGGGCGAGATTTGAATATATAAAATAATAAAATAAGTGAGCGCTAAAACAATCACAAGCAGCCAAAGCACCAAAGAGGCAAACCAAAAAAAAACTCCAAATAATCAAAGACAGAAAGGTGCAGCGCTGGAGCAACAAATAACTAAGGTTCAATGTACCGTATTTTTTCGTTCTATAGGACGCACCTGACCATAAGACGCACCTAGGTTTTAGAGGCAGAAAACAGGAAAAAAAAATTCTGAACTAATGGACTGCAGACATAGTACAGGAGATGACCAGAGACTGCGGACAGCACAGGGATGACCAGAGACTGCGGACAGCACAGGGATGACCAGAGACTGCGGACAGCACAGGGATGACCAGAGACTGCGGACAGCACAGGGATGACCAGAGACTGCGGACAGCACAGGGATGACCAGAGACTGCGGACAGCACAGGGATGACCAGGGACTGCGGACAGCACAGGGATGACCAGGGACTGCGGACAGCACAGGGATGACCAGGGACTGCGGACAGCACAGGGATGACCAGGGACTGCGGACAGCACAGGGATGACCAGGACTGCGGACAGCACAGGGATGACCAGGGACTGCGGACAGCACAGGGATGACCAGGGACTGCGGACAGCACAGGGATGACCAGGGACTGCGGACAGCACAGGGATGACCAGGGACTGCGGACAGCACAGGGATGACCAGAGACTGCGGACAGCACAGGGATGACCAGAGACTGCGGACAGCACAGGGATGACCAGGGACTGCGGACAGCACAGGGATGACCAGGGACTGCGGACAGCACAGGGATGACCAGAGACTGCGGACAGCACAGGGATGACCAGAGACTGCGGACAGCACAGGGATGACCAGAGACTGCGGACAGCACAGGGATGACTGCTGACCTTTGGGGAGGGAGGGGAGCGGGTACCTGAATTTG